ATCATAAGATTGATTATACACAGGTCTAGTATACCCCTTTGCTATTATTGAAATCATAAATTCATATTAAGAATTAAACAAAAAATTAAAATTCCAATTACAAAAAAATTCAAATTAAAAGAATTAAAATAAAACTATAAATCTAATAGAGGAAGTATTTCAAAATGCTCACTATTCCTCTTTAAAATAACATTTCTTTTACTAAATCTGGAGATAAACGAGTTTATTTAGCAGAAATATGATTACTCGCATCTGAAAATAATCGTTCGCTTAGAACTGAAGTTGCAGGAATGGATAAATATTTTCTTGCAATTTGTGCTAAAATTGGTAAAATAGTCTTGTTAGCTAACCACCATTTTAATGGATCATCCTTTAGTCCAACTTTTTTTTTGTTGTAAGTAAAGTTTAACCTCATCATCATCATCTTCAATATCATTTACATTACTTTCTAATACTTTAAAAATATTATTTTCACTATCTGACAAAGATGGATTGTTAATAATCGTTTCTTTTGGTGGAAGATTATTTTTTGCATTATTATATAAATCCTAAACTAATATTTCAGCTTTATTTATACCATGACCATTACACTATTCAAAGTTTTTAAATCGAGGATCCAAAAATGATGCAATAAGTACAATGACAGATGAAACTGACCAAAGTTCATCTAAGGATAAAAAGATAGCTGCACGAACTTTTTGTTGTAAACCATTAACATTTACTAGTTGTAAATATTCTACATTACTTATATTATCCAAATTTAATTCAGTTGAATAAATTGTTTGAGCTCTACCTCTTTGACATTGACGATGTGCATAATGCTAATGTTGTCTTGTTCTACCTGAAGGAATATATTTATCATCACTTATAATATCAGAATCCTCAGTAACATCTTCAATATTAGAACCATATACCAAATTAATATAGGTATCAAAACTTTCACCTTTTTCTTCATTCAGAGCAAATGATTTTTTAAGTAAATGCATATAAGGGATAATAAGACTTAAAGTTGGATATGCAGCTTCACAAATTTTACAAGTTATAGTTTCAAATAGTTCTAATATAATAATCATTTGTTGAAGAAAACTATTATAAAAAAGTAAATATTAGGATTTTAAAGTTTATATTAAATTTTAAATATTATAGAAAATAAAAATAAATTGATTTTTATCTTTTTTTCATTTGGACTTAAACATAATTGTTCTAATTTTTCACCCTCTCTTTGAGAGACTCAATCAGCTTTTAAAAGTAGATCTGTAGATACAATTCTCATAGAATTATGTAATTCTAAAACTCTTTTTTATGCATGATATGTAGAATTTCATCTAGTTTTAATATCAGTCAAAACATCAAGTGGATTTACATTTTCATCTTTAATTAATTGACCATTTGTTTGAGCTACTCAAAGTCTTTCTGCTTGTTTTGGTAGACGAAAAAAATTTGTAAGCTTTTGATTCGAGGATGAAATGCTTTATATTATTTTAAATCTTCTAATACTGAAAGTTGTAAGATGTATGCTACGCAGGGCTGACATTGTATTTGGTCAATATAAGTTTCATTTAATAAACGAACTGTCTTTATTATGTTTGCTCTATTATCTATTGCTATTGTAAAAACTATTGAAATTAAATGCTAATCTTCTAATATTTGAAATAATTCATCACTTATAACTTCGCCAGTGTGAGGATAAGGAAGGTAATTACAAATCAATAATGCTTCTTTAAACTCAAAATTTGAAATTAACCATATTGCAGTTAAACCAAGATAACTATGCTGGGATTTAGCTGTCCAAAGGTCAGTTGTTAAATGAATTGTTATCATTGTACTTCTTAACAATGATTGAAGTTGCTCTTTACTCTATTGATATGCTATATAAAGTATTCCCTTTAGGGTTTTATCACATGAAATTCTATAACCTGGTTCACATGTTAGTAAAAGATCCCAGAATGCAGAATTTTGAAGAATATATAAAGGTTGAATATTTTTGATAATAAAATTAGTGACTTTTTGAGTGATTATTTCTTGTCGTATAGGAGAATATGGTATAGAATTAGAATTATTTATAAAATCTGTAATTCGCCATTGGTCCCTGTATGGCTATTTAAATTGCAAATTAAGAAATTAGAAATGTTGATCATTGGCGTTACAATAAAGAAAAAAAATTAAAAAAAACCTCTTCTCATTCATCCAAAAATTCAAAATAGTTATTTTTTGTTATATTATATTTATCCCGTAAATGCGATATAAGGTTGGTTGTATTTCCATCTTTCTACTATAACCATAAGCTGATTTATTTGTTCCTGTAAAATTGGTTTCGCAAACTTTACAATAAGCAATATCAGATTCTACTCGAAAAAAATATGTTGTATGACTACAATTGCTTCGATTCTGATGTTTTATTTTTTGTTTTTTATTGGTAGTGCTACCTCTACTACTTCTTGTACTTGCAGTTTCATTGATAGTTTCATTTTCAGAATCAGACATGTTTTTTAATAAAAAAAGAAACGGAAATTTTTTAAGAATGAGTTTCAATGCAATGCAACCTGATATGAAATATTTTCATGTGATTTTATAAAGGGTAAACTATTTGTGTAATCAGATGCAACTAAAAATAGGCATACGTTAATTTTCATGTGTTCTAATTGCAACCGGTTATGCAAATCGGATGCAACCGGTTTAATAGCAAACTGGTTTGCAGTTTTATTAAAATCATAACCCGGATTAGTAAAGAATCAGTTTAAACCAAATTTAAAACTGGATTGATAAATCTGGTTCTAACCTCTACTTGTATGACCTACATAAATTTCAAAATGTATTTCTGAAATGTAACCTTTATTACCAAAATATCAAACCTTATATTTAAATATATAATACTACATAATACACGTAATACGCGCAGTATGATTATTAAATATTCCTAAAAAAGGTTACATTAACAGATAGCCAAAAATATGATTTTTGCCTTTATGCTCATAATAATAAATTGTCTTTCTTTCAGTATGTAATTTGGATTAAACAGAAATAGGAAGTAAAAGTTAACGAATCTACAATTACATGAATTTTGCAAACTAAAGATAAGTGGCTTACTACAGAAGTTATTAATCCAAAAGCAAAATGTTATAAAACTATTATTACTCTAAAACTTGAGTTTGCACTCAAGGAATTTATACTAACCTACCAGCATAAAATGATTTTAAGCAATACTTTACTAATTGAGAAGCTAAATCATTAGCCAACGAATTGGAAGTACCATTACAGTTTACCTTTTATTTAATTATATTTAATTTTTTTTAACTTTATTTAATTTACTTTAATTTACTTGAACTATTTATTTTATTTATTTAACTTTTATTTATTTTATATTTTATTACAGTTTTCTAATAGCTGACTTCAAAAATTTAAGGATTGTAATGGCATTTGTCAAGTAAAGCTTCAAGAAAAAACAGATTCTGCTGATGAAAATGATATTACTGAAGCTCTATCATTATTACGAAATAAATATACTGAATATCCTCCTGATCAAATCTATAATATAGACAAGACAGGTTTATTTTATTGGTATTTTGTTTTAAGTTTTGTGTTTTTTTATATAAATATTAATTATATTATTTCTCATACTGATATTCTTTTTAGTTTAGAATCAGATCAAATATTAGCTATACGAAAGCTTTCTAAGTGTAAAAAAATAAAGAACGCCTTTTAATTGCTTTATGTGTTAATTCTGATGAATCACATAAACTAACTCCTTTAGTAATTGGTAAATATGCAAAGCTACGATGCTTTAAAAATGTTAATATTAGTAATTTACCAATGACCTATCAGAATAATAGTAAAGTTTAGATATTAACAACTCTTTTTCAAGAGTGGCTTCAAGAATTTGATTATCAAGTTGGGTAAAAGCATTGAGAGCAACATGTTTTGTTATTACTTGATAATTATTCAAGCCATAAGATAGAAAATATAGCTCTTTCATATGTTGATGTATATTTTTTACCTTCTAATATAATATCAAAATTCCAACCAATAGATGCTGGAATAATTATGACATTTAAAAAACACTATTGATATTATTATATTAGGTAATTACAGATTTACTTTTATTTTATTATTTTCATAATTTAATGAAGATTTTTTTATTTAGATGGATGCTAGAACGAGTTGAAGCTGGTCAGTTTATACAAGATTTGAAAATCAATGTTCTTCAAGCAATTCAATACATTATTTAAGGTTGGAATGAAATTATAGCTAATACCATTAAAAACTGTTAGAATCATGTTAAAATCCTTTCTGATGCTATTCTTAGAGATATTTATAATGATAATTCAATGCTTAATGATGATGATAATTTAATGCTTGATGATGAACTTAATGAAGCAATCAAAGCTCTTTATTTATTCAATATAATACAAATGAAAAAATTTTAACTATTTTTGAAGATGATGTTATTTATGAAATTCCTAACATTTCAGAATTTGCAGATATGTTTAAAAATGGTTATCCAGATGATGTAGATGATAGTGATGAAGTAGAAATCATTTGTACTAATGAAGCATTACAAAGTTTAAAAACTTTAAATTTATACTTACTTCAATAGGAGAATGCAAAATGAACAAATAAAATTAGTAGGTAAAATTGAAAAATTTATTAAAAAGAACAAAGCAATTTAATGCAACAGACTATTATAGATCGATATTTTGGATAATTGTTTTTAATTTTGTAATTTCTATAATTCTTAATAAATAAATATGTCATTATATAAATCACGTGATTCTGCTATTCTATAAATGCACACCCTCTCTAAATGCATGCTTATGCTCGGTCCCATCCCAAGGGGTGTGCATTTACGGAGAGTTGACTATACGTGAGAAAGGACCCGGCCGGCTAAGAAAAAAATGAATAAAAAAATGACTTAATATTGCGGTTCATCATGAGGGTTCACTTCTTTTGACTTTATTCATTGAATTAATAGTTCTATCGCACAACCCTGTAGTGCGCATTTATCACAATGCAATGTGCAATGAAAAATCTGAATCAGGAAATATTATTATACAAACACTATATACAGGAATACACTAGTAAAAAAACTACACAAATCGCAATTAATTTTTATATATTCAATTACGAGTAATCAAAAGTTAAAAAATAGTATTTGTACTTCTTTCAACATCCTTATATTATTATATTCAGGTTGTGGAGGCACGGGTGATGACGTATAAGCACCATAGACCTATTTATCATCAACTAATTGTTGATATAATAGCTTTGTTAGTATGTTATTTTAGTGTTAGAATCGATAGATATACACTTTTTTGGTGTACAAACATTCCACAGAGTCGCTTTCTTCTTCTTCAAGATGATTATCATATCCTATAGCCTTATCAAGAATTTCTCCAGTTTCATTAACGGCCCAGTATATATCGTAATTAAGATCTCGATGTAAAACTGTTGTTAAGTCTGAATATTCTTCCATGATTCTGCTCGCAACTAAAGCTTCCCTAGTAAATATGCAAAATTAAAGTAAAAGTAAGAAGACAAAACAAAAAGACAATTGATCTTACTTTGTTGGAGATTCTGCAAGTGATAAATCATATTTGTGCTCGAATCTATCGGGACAGGTATTGGCCTTATATTCCTCGTATTGAAGAGACATCGCATATTGGATATCTTCGATGACTGAAGTACCCGGAATTGATAGAACTTCTTGTTGAGCTTTAGCATATCTCTCGGCACATTCAATGAGTTTCTTGCGATGTTCCTGTATTATAAAAGATGAAAGGTTAGATTAAATATTATTAAATACGTGATTTCTTTCGCAATTGGAGAAAAATGCTTACTTCATCTTCTTTACTCCACGCTACCTTTTTTATTGGTTTGTTTTCCTTGTGTTTAGCTATATTTTAATCGAATAAATGTCAAGAGGTCAGTTAATATATTATGAAATGTGAATAGTTCATAGTACCTTGTTTTTTTCCTTGTTTCTTTGGCATTTTTTTAAGCAAAAATATTATGTGTTGATAATCTGTAATCACGTTAATTGGCTATTTATTCTTGACGCATCAGCCACATTATATTTTCGTGTAACATTTGTCTATTTTTAAATATTAAAAAATAGAAATTATTCTGTATTTATATGCACTCTAAAACATTAAAGAATAAATTAAGATTTTTTAACAATAAATCATAATGAAATTACTTTAATATTTTAATATAACAATTGTAAAAAGTAACTGTTTAACCTTGGAAATACAAGCTTTATTAAAATGAAAATTTATTGAATTTCATATGCCAAAAATCAATGTTAGAATTAATAATTATATTTTATTATTAAATGTTATAAAAGCGCTTTGGTATTATCACAAAAAAATCAATAACTCCACAACCATTCAAGATAGACCCACGAAAATTATTGTGCAAGTATTTCCATACCGCTGAACAAATCTTTTATTTGTTTTCTTTGGCCAGAAAGTTCAAATTACGCCTTGAAAATAAAAAAATAAAACACGTTTTAATAATATTATAAAAAATTAATAACTTCACAACCATTAAAGCTAGACTCGTGAAAATTAATATGCAAATAGTTCCATACCTGTTGAACAACTTTACTTAAGCTTCTTTTGCTGTTTCCTTTGACCAAAGTGTTAAAATTACGCCTGAAAGTAAAAATCAAAACACGTTTTAGTATTATTACAAAAAAATTAATAACTCCATAACCATTAAAGCTAGACTCACAAAAATTAATATGCAAATAGTTCCATACCTGCTAAATAACTTTACTTATGCATGTTTTACTTATTTAGTTTGAGCAAAGTACTGAACTTATATTATAAAGTCCCTATACAATACGAAAAACGCGTTTGTTATGAAATTACTTATGAAAATGTCACAACTTTATAATAATATTCTATATCTGAAGACCTGAATTGCTGTTAAAATTTTATTAATTAACAAAACTTTTAAAATATATTTTTAAAACATGAAAAAAGGGAGAAAAAATGAAAAAAGAAAAAAGACCTAATTGCATTACTAGGTTGAAAAGGTTATACATGAAGTCGAAATAGATCATTTAGGATATCTGAAATGGTCGAAATGGAAGCTTTGCAATAAAAAGGGAGGAAACTCTAAAAAAATTTTTTTTTGAGTTAATGTTAAATCTGGACTTATTTTACAA